GATTTCTTGCATTGCAGGCAGATTCTTTACCAGGTAAGCCACAAGGGAAGCCAAAGAATACTGGAGAGGGTAGCCTATCCCTTCTCTAGTGGATCTTCCCAACCCAGGCATCTCATGCAATGCAGGAAGATTGTTTACCAACTGAGCTATTAGGGAAGTCCATCTTCTAAAGACTCTTTCAAATCCTGATAAGTTTTCAGGAAGTTTTAGAAAGCCTTGGCCTCCAATAAATTTGCCTCCAATACTTTGTAGTACTTTCACTTTTAATTTTTATTGAATTATAGTCAGATAGATGGATAAAGAAAAGCACTAACACTAAAAGTATTACTGTTAGTTGCTCAGCCATGTCCAACTGTTTGTGACCTCATTGACTGTAGCTTGCAAGGCTCCTCTGTCCATGGAATTTTCCAGGCAAGAATACTGTAGTGTCCATTCCCTTCTCTAGGGGATCTTCCTGATTCAGGGATCAAACCCCGGTCTCTTGCATTGCAGGTAGATATTTTACCATCTGAGCCATGAGGTAATGTAAAATTACTCAGCCATAGAGATTAAGAAGTAAGCCAGAAAGATAAAGACCATTTCAGTATACTAACACATATATATGGAATTTAGAAAGATGGTAACGATAACCCTATATGCAAAACAGAAAAAGAGACACAGATGTACAGAACAGACTTTTGGACTCTGTGGGAGAAGGAGAGGGTGGGATGTTTCAAGAGAACAGCATCGAAACATGTATATTATCTAGGGTGAAACAGATCACCAGCCCAGGTTGGATGGAATAATACCTTCTGTAGGGACGTGCATGGACCTAGAATATATACTGAATGAAATAAGTCATACAGATAAAGACAAATACTGAATAATATAAGTAACAAGCAAATTTGGCCTTGGAGTACAGAATGAAGCAGGGCAAAGGCTAATAGAGTTTTGCCAAGGGAACACACTGGTCATAGCAAACACCCTCTTCCAACAACACAAGAGAAGACTCTACACATGGACATCACCAGATGGGCAACACCAAAATCAGACTGATTATATTCTTTGCAGCCAAAGATGGAGAGCTCTATACAGTCAGCAAAATCAAGACCAGTAGCTGACTGTGGCTCAGATCATGAACTCGTAATTGCCAAATTCAACTTAAATTGAAGAAAGTAGGGAAAACCACTAGACCATTCAGGTACAACCTAAATCAAATCCCGTATGATCATACAGTGGAAGTGACAAATAGATTCAAATGGTTAGATCTGATAGAGTGCCTGAAGAACTATGGAGGGAGATCGTGACATTGTATAGGAGGCAGTGATCAAGACCAAACTCAAGAAAAAGAAATGCAAAAAGGCAAAATGGTTGTCTGAGAAGGCCTTACAAATAGCTGTGAAAAGAAGAGAAATGAAAGGTAAAGGAGAAAAGGAAAGACATTTGAATGCAGAGTTCCAAAGAATAGCAAGGAGAAATAAAGTCTTCCTCAGTGATCAATGCAAAGAAATAGAGGAAAACAATAGAAGGGGAAAGACTAGAGATCTCTTCAAGAAAATGAGAGATACCAAGGGGACATTTCATGCAAAGAGGGGCACAATAAAGGACAGAAATGATATGGACCTAACAAAAGCAGAAGATACTAAGAAGAGGTGGCAAGAATACACAGAACTATACAAAAAAAGATCTTCACAACCCAGATAATCATGATGGTGTGATCACTTACCTAGAGCCAGACATCCTGGAATGCAAAGTCAAGTGGGCCTTAGGAAGCATCACTGTGAACAAAGCTAGCGGAGGTGATGGAATTCCCATTGAGCTATTTCATTTCTTACAAGATGATACTGTTAAAGTGCTGCATTCAACATGCCAGCAAATTTGGAAAACTCAGCAGTGGCCACAGGACTGGAAAAGGTCAGTTTTCATTCCAATCCCTAAGAAAGGCAATCCCAAAGAACACTCAAACTACTGCACAATAGCACTCATCTCACACACTAGTAAAGTAATGCTCAAAATTCTCCAAGCCAGGCTTCAGCAATATGTGATCCACGAACTTCCAGTTGTTCAAGCTGGATTTAGAAAAGGCAGAGGAACCAGAGATCAAATTGCCAACATCGGCTGAATTATTAAAAAAGCAAGAGAGTTCCAGAAAAACATCTACTTCTGTTTTATTGTCTATGCCAAAGGCTTTGACTGTGTGGATCACATTAAACTGGAAAATTCTGAAAGAGATGGGAATACCAGACCGCCTGACCTGTCTCTTGAGAAACCTGTGTGCAGGTAAGGAAGCAACAGTTAGAACTGGACATGGAACAACAGACTGGTTCCAAATCAGGAAAGGAGTACGTCAAGGCTGTATATTGTCACCCTGCTTATTTAACTTATATGCAGAGTACATCATGAGAAACGCTGGGCTGGATGAAGCACAAGCTGGAATAAAGAATGCCAGGAGTAATATCAATAAATTCAGATATGCAGATCCAAGTTTTAGCAGGCCATTGAGGGTGAAGGGTGCAAAGCACAGGGCCAAGTGTATGACTAGATTAATTCAGCCCAGCACCTGTGGTTCATCACATTCCATGCAAGAAAAAAATTAGGTGATCCAAAATGAACACTGTATTCTTTGAAAGGCTAACATTTCTTAGGCAAGGATAATTATTTTAATCAGAGGGCAATCATTATGCAAAATGGAATGCCTGGCCTTGTATAGAAATTCTACCTCTCTTTTCTTTCTGCATCTTCCATATCTTTGTTTTCACTTGGTGGTAAATTTATAAATTATTTTATCCTCTTTTGATTTCTTCTCATTACATTATTTCTGGCTTCCCCAGTGGCTCAGTGGGAAAAAAATCCCCCTGTGATTCAGGAGACGCAGGTCTGATCCCTGGGTTGGGAAGATCCCCTGGAGCAGGAAATGGCACCCACTCAAGTATTCTTGCCTGGGAAATCCCATGGATAGAGCAGCCTGGTGGGTACAGTCCCACTGCACATGGGGTCACAAAAAGAGTCACGTACAATTTAGCAAATAACAACAATACAGTCTTTCAAATGCTTTTCTTTCCATTAATTCTGCTCTTTCTTGATACAGCCATCCCTCAGCTTCTTTGGGGATCGCTTCCAGGAGTCCACACAGAATATTCCCTCCAGGATATCAAAATAGGTGTATGCTCAAGTCCCTAACATAAAGTGGGTTGTGCCATGAATACACTCCATATTCATATTCATGGGTTTCAAATCCATGGATAAAGAGGGTGGAATGTATTATTTTTCCTTCCTTTTCTCCTTCCACATTCCCTGCCAAAAAATTTTTTTTTATTAAAATGAACAGTTTTCAGGAAAGATGTGTGTAAAGAGCTAACGGGAAGTTAAGAATAATATCAGATTGATGTCATAGATAATGTTTTGTTTTATATGTAATAGTGAAAATTCATACCATAATGCAAAGAAAGAAATAAAATAAAGCTGGCAGCATTTCTTTCATCATATTTCAAAAAGATGTTCATATCAAGGAGAAGATGTATGCCCCCATATACAACATAAGCTATCTAGCATGTTTGAGACATCTGATTTAGTGTGAGGAATGCAGTATGAAGAACTTCCTTGTGGCTCACATGGTAAAGAATCTGCCTGCAATATGGGAGACCTGGATTTGATCCCTGGGTTTGGAAGATCCCCTGGAGAAGGAAATGGCAAACCACTCCAGTATTCTTGCCTGGATAATTCCATGAACAGAGGAGCCTGGCAGGCTACAGTCCATGGGGTCTCAAGTAGTTGTACACAACTCAGCAACTAACATATATATATGCAGTATGAGGTTGTTATTGTCCTTGAATTTGAGACACTATTCACCTTACAATGACCAGAGATACATATTTAACAGCTACCATTTGTTTACCAATCTTGCATATCAAATGGGGAAATCCATCCATCAAATGCAACAAGTTTTTCTTGACTAGATCGAAGCACAGGCCTTTCCTTAAATGGCTATGTTGAAATATAAATTCCACTTATCTCCGGTGGCCTCCCCTCAAGTGAATTTAACCTAAAAATCTATCTATTAGTTAGAATAATTATCCTACTTACAGTCTATTCTTTGAGTAAAATGGGATTTTATCAGAAGTATCTCATTGGATACAAAGTGCAAGACTTGTATGAAGCATTTTCTCTTACACCTAGTACAGTCTTACAAACATTAAAGCTCATAGCCTATTTTTCTCAGTAATGGTAAAGAGATACTATTTTAATTGCCTTTCAGAGACATCATAAGAACCAAAAAGGGGGAAAGTATTATTACCTTTGTTTGTGCTCTGAGTTCTTAAGTATTCACTGTATGCTTTCTCTCTGGGTCTGTTTCTAGTGGTATAAGCCTTGTTAATAGGAATTAGATCAGATTATGATTGTGTTGTGGTTATCTTAATTTTGCATGTTTTCTTCATCAAACAATACTTATTTATATTAATTATCTCATATCAGTGTGAATAAATAAAATCCAGCACTATTTAGCATTCACTTTACTTCTAGCTTTTTTTGTCTTAGGAACTACTGTAAATTTCATTGTAATAACAGTTAATTATGTTTAGCAGCATTGCCTTCTTTTATTAGAGGAGCATTTTAATTTGATGTTAGAAACAACCGGCTTTAAAGATGTGATTGGCCTTCAATTCTTTTTAGATTCTTCTTGGAGACGCACTTACCACAAAAATGCACTCTGTGGGAATTTGGCAACCTAGCTGATAATAGGATAAATCATTTTTAGTTTACAGGAGAAAGCAAATGCTTCACTATTATGTTATTATTTATTACATCAAAAAGGAAATGTAATTTTTAGCTAGCTATGTGCATGTGAGTCCAAATATCGTTTGATAAAATTAGTCAAGTGGGAAACTTCCACTTCTTTGTGATGACACATCAAATATGCCCTTGTCACTAAAAACATTAAGGATCAAAAAGTGATACTTTGTTTTTCCAAGCACCCTTAACACTAACAGAAAAATCTAAATTATGATATATTTATTTTTCAGGAGCCAATGAGAAAGAAATAGCCCTAATGAATGGTTTGACTGTTAATTTACATCTTCTACTGGTAAGCTTCTTTTCCCACCAGTGTTTAGTATACACTCATTTACAGAATCTGATTTCTTCTATCTTTAATTCATGAGGGTTTGGAGTTTTACTTACTTAAAAATAAATTGTGAGATTATTTTCAATTCTACCAGGAAATGCTGGGCCCTGCTAGAATGGCTTCTTCATAATCATGGGAGACTTGTCTCTTTACAAAGAGCTTTAGAATACTGAGCTCTTATCTTAGAACATAAGGAATAAGAGTCACAGTTGAAAAGCTAAATTGCTGCAAGCACACAAAATAATGACGTAAAAATGGTAGCAAGCAGTGATCTTTTCAGAAAGACAGTTTTCCAATATGCTGAGTTTCAGGGGATGGGTCTATGGAATATTATGTTTCTGTACATTAATTTTGGGGGGTATATTAAAAAAGACCCTGTTGCTGGGAGAGATTGAGGGCATGAGGAGAAGGAGGCAGTGGAGAATGAGATGGTTAGACAGCATCACCCACTCAATGGACATGAAATCATGCAATCTCCAGGAGATAGTGAAGAACAGAGAGTCAGCCTGCTACAGTCCAAGGCATCACAGAGAGTCAGACATGACTTACTGACTGAACAACAATAACAAACATTAACTGAGTCACTCTGCTTAGGTATTTCTTACATTCTAAGAATTTGATAATATGTATGCCTTAAAATATATATTCTTGGTTTGAAATATGGTACCTAGAGTAATTGATGTCATGAAAATTTTGTACTTCATTTTTAAGTGAGATTTTGCAAGCATGTCTATAAGACAAAGATGCACTATTAAGATACTGATATTTTATTTTTATAATATACAAACATTATTATTAAACATGCCTGAAGGAAAGTGCTTGTGGAGTATATTAAGTATGATGGTAAACAGCATGATTTTCAGTTCAGACAACTCTGGTTTGGCTCCCAGCTAGATTACTTAATACCTGTTTGATTTTGGACAAGGGTATTGGCATTTCTGGGTTTCCCAGGTGGGTCAGTGATAAAGAATCACCTGCAGTGCAAGGGACACAGGTTCAATCCCTGAGTTGAGAATACCCCCTGGACAAGGAAATGGCAATCCACTCCAATATACTTGCCCGGGAAATCCCATGGACAGAGGAAACTGGCGGGCTACAGTCCATGGGTTGCAGAAGAGTCAGACACAACTTAGCAACTAAACAATTGGAATTTCTAAATCCTAATTTTTTCCATTGTAAAAAATGAGGATGATAATATCTACCTCATATGTATAAAACATGATAGTATGTGAAAATTGCTTTAGCACCCCGGCCAGTGGTCAACATCCAATTAACAATAGCAATCATCCTCGTTGTTATTACTGTCAGTCAGTATTTTCCAAGAACTGCGCGGAGAAATGAAAAGGCTCCACTGAACACATGAGCTGCTTCTCCCTGGTGACTCTGCAAATCCCAAATGTTTCATTAGGGCAGAGGGACTTTCAGTTGGACCTAAAATTAGATTTCATACAATCTTAAAACTTTAGCAATATTATGTAATAGAAACCAAATCTACAGCTCTAGATAAATCACTGTGAATAAGACATACATATAGATAGACTTCCCAGGTAGCACTAGATAGAATATGATATTTCAGTCTCAGAGCAATTGCCATTAAGTGCATTGAGATTTTCAATTTTCAATTAATTTTCAATGAGCACTTAAGTAAAGTTTAAGAATTCATTTTTATCTGATTCATATTTTTCTCTCAAATTTGCTTTCCTATTGATAAACATAGTGAGCAAATATCTTCTTTTTAGAATTCACTGGAAACAAGGCTAATTGGAAAAATGTACCTTTGATAGGCATCTAACTGTGTAATTAATTAATTCCTTTAAAATGCTGGAGATTATAAAATTAAAGTGTGGTATAAAAATGAACAAATGTCTAAGTTGTACATTAATGCTTTTCTCAATAAATCCATTTCATTGCAGTTATCATTTTTCAAGCCTACACCCAAACGGTATAAAATTCTCCTAGAAGCCAAAGCCTTCCCTTCAGATCATGTAAGGATTCTACAAATGATATTTATATTCTTTTTACTCTCCCTAAAGCAGCATATCATTTGCCTGACTTGAATGTTTACTCACTAGTCTTTTCTAAGTAACCTTATAATAAGAAGATCTGTCAAATGCTTTTGATTTATGCATTTTTATAGATTGTAGCTTTATTTCTTTTGTTCAAGTAAAACATGTGTTAAGGGAAGAAAGAATTGAAGAGGAACATTGATTTATTAGTCTTTTTAAAGACACTGAACAAACCACTGGTCTAAATCAAGTGCAGTTATAAATGTTTTATTCTTTTTTTTATTAATTCTTGTTGCTGTTTTATTTTATGAAATTAAATCAATACACACCCCAGTACTTAACCCTTTAGCTACCTAAGGTAGGAATATAAACATTTATCTGTCCATTTGCTTTCATAACACACTAGCATAATTATATTGGAGAAGGAAATGGCAACCCACTCCAGTGTTCTTGCCTGGAGAATCCCAGGGATGCGGGAGCCTGGTGGGCTGCTGCCTGTGGGGTCACACAGAGTCGGACACGACTGAAGCGACTTAGCAGCAGCAGAAGCAGCAGCATAATTATTGGTAGTTTTTAACTTAAAAAGTGTATTGAAGACTTTAAGAATTTTTTGTGGTTCAAGGAAAAAAATAATGCTACTTTTCCAGCAATTTCAGTTGGTAAGAAATTTAACTGTTACAGACACCAACACAGCTAAAAGTATATTTCAGTTTTAGTATTAGAGAAACTTGATTTCCATCTTTATATTATCACTGTTTAAGTATTCTAGCCTATATCTTATAATTTCAAGGCATTTAATCATTCAAGTTAATAGCCAAATGATCTTACTAAAAAGGATCCAGAATCTTTATCTTGAAAAATTCAGGGTCCCTAAAATTTCTGGTTCCCATTTTCATCTGGGACTCTCAATGAAGGGAACTTTTTTTATCCTTTTCTACTAGCTTACTCTTTCTAGGGCAAACCATTTCTGTATCCTGTATTGAAGCCTAGCAAGTCTTCACTGCTCACTTTGGTTATTTTGTAAACTCTGTTTTGACTCAAATTAGATTAATTAAATATCTTACTCAAAAAATTTCTTTTATTTCTAAAGACTAAATGACCCTTACATTTCTATCCATATAATATTTCTGTTTCAAAGGATGTTCAGATTGCTGCATGTAAATCATGTTAAATTTTTCTCTGATACATTCTGTTTAGTTACTTTTAAACTTGGCTTTGAATTTAATATGATAATATGCTTTTATTGTTATTTTATTACCTTTTTTTTGAGCTATTCTAATGTACTTCTGTGCACTGGACTTGATTTAATAAATCATCTTTCTTTTCCAGTATGCTATTGAGTCACAGCTTCAACTTCATGGACTTAACATTGAGAAAAGTATGCGGATTATAAAGCCAAGAGAGGTATATAAGAAAGAGAAATAAATATTTATCATGCTTCTATTTAGTATTGATTTTTCTTCATTTTCTTCAAAACTTTATCTTCATTACTTTAATGGAACTTTCAAGAAAGTATAAAAGACCTATACTCTGTTACTATTAGGTCATTTTGCTTAAAATAGAAACTTAACTCAGAAGTGTATTTATTTTAATTTTTTCAAGGGCTAGTCATATTATAAGCAAACTATTTTCCTATTAATATCACTGGAGTCTGCCATATTCTTCAGTGGGATGGGAGGAGATAGAAACTTGCATATATCATTTTCAAATTTAAATGCCATTGCCTGTGGGTGCCATTAAAATCATGTTAAAAATCAGTTATATTTGTTGAAATTGAATGACGCCTATCTTTTTGCCCCTCTAATCTAAGTACCAAATGTTTGCCTCTGAGTTTAGTCTGGGGTATTGAAAGGGACTTAGTGTAGCAGAAGGAAATTAGGTTTACAATCTCGTTATTACTCCCCAGGGAAATCCCAGTGACTTTGTGTTACTTACTTTATCTCTGAGATATCTTTATATTTGAACAGATAACAAAGGAAACAGTTGGGCTTAACCATATGTTTAAGATCTAAAATACTGTGCCCTTTATATTAATAAAGCTGTAAGGCTAAGTTGTATAGGCTTTGATATCTAAACCCTACAGCTTGTGTAACTTGGCACCAACAGATCCACACAGGATAAATTTTAGGTTTCATGTATGTATGACACTCCCAGGATAATGTTTGAACAATTATTTCTTTCAATCCAAAACTAATTTGAGAAATTAAAGATCTACTCTATTCACTTCTTTTTGCCAACATGTAATATATTAATGGAACAGAAAGTTCTCACAGCTTTTGAATGATATGTTTCATATATTATACATAAATTGCTTATTGCTAGCAAAAAATGACTATAGCCATCACAATTTTATTTTTAAAAGTAATAAGTGTTGTGGAGCTGTATGACTTAATCATATATTTGGGAACACTCTTTAGCATTACTAGATTTGAGCAGGTGAACATGAAAGAGAACCATATCTTATCACTGAAAAATAAATTTCTCATTTGCTTAGCACCAATTCTTTAAAGAAATAAAGCATTAGTATATAGAGCACTTTCCTTAGTTTTATTTAACAATTTCTATAGGAAAGAAAAAAAAAAGAGGTTGGGGTTGTCATGTTACTAATTTTACTTCAAATTTTTTTCTTAGAATTACTGAAATCCTTTTCTTCATGTATAAAATACACATCACTTAGAAATTCAGAGATTCACTGTCAACTCTATTTTTTAATTTAAAATTTACTTTTAACTGGAGGATAATTGCTTTACAATGTTGTGTTGGTTTCTGCTCTACAACAATTTGAATCAGCCGTATGTCCCCCTCCTTCTTGAGCCTTCCTTCACCCCCACATCCCCCCGCTGTAGGTTGTCTCAGAGCACCAGGCGGAGTTCCTGGTGTGATACACCAACTTCCCACTACCTATCGATCTTAAATATGGCAATAGCTATGTTTCAATCCCATTCACTCAACTCCTCTTCTTCCCCCACTGTGTCCACAAGTTTGTTCTCTATGTCTTTGACTCTATTCCTGCCCTTCAAGTAGGTTGACCAGTACAATTTATCACTCTTATTTTTGTAGATAATCACTTTTGCAAACAAGTCTCAGACCACTAGCAGAAATTAGCATATTATTACATTTGTGATACGTATTATATATGCATAATGTGGGACATAGTAATTGGCAAATAGAGTTACCAAAATTAAAAACAATTGAAGAAAAATCCATTAATACTGTAATGAGTTTTCCCCAAATATTAATGTAGTTAATGATGCTTTGACTTCAAGACCATGTCAGATTTAGCGGTGTAGAAAATTCATGAAGACTTCATAAATAGATGAGAATTATTAGGCTACAAATTTGTAATTTGTATCTGGCAGAGTTCTTTCACTCAAGTTGTTTATAAGACCAAATTAAATCATTCACAATATTCACAAAGTAACTGATCACTGAATTGTGGGAGAAAAGTGACCTTGATAATATTGAATTTTATTGATAGTTTCTTTGTGTTTGGATCTTTACCTTCAGATTGGTATGGAATAGATTTTACTCTTAAATTAATAGAAAATATTAGGCTAAGTTTCACTCAGATAATGATGTACATGTGTCTTTTACCTGGAAAAAGTAATGATTTTAGATTGATAAGTAAAATGCTAATTTCCAAGAAATCAGTTTTGACATTTAATATTTTATGAATATCCTATTTTTCTTGTATTTTATTGGATGGGAATAAAAATGAAATAATTTATAAGTATCTAAATAGTAAAGATTAATTGAAAAACTGAAGAATAAAATCAGGCAATAGTTTTGCAAAAACTTATACTTTATAAAATACTTTTTACTATTGTATTGTCATTTCTTAATAACAAAAAGCATGTTCAAATACATGTTCTTGCCAGATTTTTGAAGATTCTTAACTTGAAAAAAAATCTTTGCTTTTTCTTATGGTAGGAAAGAACCCAAAGTGACTTTTGGATTGGGAAATATAAACGGAAAAGTTGTCATTGTGGATATTATGTAATTTATGCCTACCACAACTTTAGGGTGAAGACACATTGAGATTAGAGGATATCCTTGAAGTAATTGAGAATGAAGGTGACTCTATTGCAGTGATCCTTTTCAGTGGTCTGCATTTTTATACTGGACAGCTCTTTAATATACCTGCCATCACAAAAGCAGGACAAGCAAAGGTACGTTAACCATTTCCTCCTCCCCGCTTTGTCCAGAACATCACTCTGCTGTGAAGCATTCAAGTGCACAAGCATATATGATATATGAAAGTGTTAGTCACTCAGTTGTGTCTGACTCTTTGCAACCCCATGGATTGTAGCCTGCCAGGCTCCTTTGTCCATGGATTTCTCCAGGCAAGAATACTGGAATGGGTAGCCATTTCCTTCTCCAGATCTTCCCTACCCAGGGATCAAACCCAGGTCTCCCATGTTGCAGGCAGACTCTTTACCGACTGAGCCACCAGGGAAGCCCCATATGAGATATACATATATATATTTGCTTAGAGTAAAATATTTATGTTTTAAAATATATTTAACATATATGTATTTAATATATATATATTAAAATATAAAGTTTATTAAATGCACTTTAAAATTTAAATATTTAGTTTTAGGCATCTCTATTTAAACCTCTTTTGTTACTTCTGTGGTCATACCTCCTTATTAGCATCTGCTGTCTCAATGTCTACCTCTAATCAGCAGGATCGGTGAGCTTCCGTAAGTGTTATCATTAGTACAGAACTGCTCAATCAGCAGAAGTAGCCAATACTTAGGATAGTAACTATATATTAGGACTATTACAAACTCAAATCTGGTGCTTTGTTGCACTATAACTCATTCTAAATATAATCTATGCTCATTAACCCTATGTACCTGAAGAATAAAAGTTTATCACAGATGGGATTTTACCCAGTTTACTCTAAGGAAGCCATTATACTGCCTATAATGAGTAATTTTCCTTAACTACTACTGAATAATACTTACACAGTATACTATTATGAAAGAGTAACTCTTTATATATGTCTTGTTAAAAAGTGTTTTAGTATGTTTGCTTGAAAAAAATAAGAGGGAAGACACTTAACAGTTACAATTTGTATTTAAAATCTTTAAGTAAGTGTTCTATTTGATTCAGCAATCAAGCCATATATTTAAAAAGGTAACAATCAAATTATATTATTAACATTAGCAAGTTATGGGATTAATACATAAGTGAGATCTAGTTAATATATTCAGTTATTGAAGCTAAATGAATGGAACTAATGAAAAGAAATTTAGCACCATTACCAGTGGTCTCTAGGAATTTCCAACCACAACTTCCAACTGATTTGATAAATGCGAAAGTGGTGCATTACAAAAGATATAATGATGATGTCTTCTTAACTTAGATATTAAAGTTTAAGCACCAAAATAAACATAGTTCAGTAAAATATCATATTTTAAAATGTTATGCAAGTACTTAGAAGTCCCTGATCGCCTTACTATACATGCATGTCTCATTAACTTTCATAGAAATGAGGCAGGAAGGTAGAGAAGAAAGATGGTGGGTTTTCGAATCACTCAGTCTGAGCTTCCAATCTTGGCTAGGTCAGTTAATTTTATATGAATTTGGGCAAATTACTTGACTTTTCTGAGTCTGTTTTCAAAAGCGTTAGTTGGAATAACAGAACCCACTTGATGAATGCTGCTGATTATGAAGATTATGAAGTATCTACTAGATTGCTCATATTCTGCTATTAAATAGTGGTTACCTCTCACTTTCCACTGTCCTCAACAAGCATGAAGTTAAGAAATAGGCTTAAATATACATTTTCTTTCATTTCTCATTAAAAAGCAAAAAAACTTGTTTACCAGGTATTATATATAACTCCCATTCAACTACTTTGAGGCTAAAACCATTCTTTCAGTATTTTGCAGGCTTTCTTTCACTTTCAAAATGTAGTAACTGCCTACTAGGTAAGACTCTCATTGAGTTTTCAGTCATAGAAAGCAAGGTACGAATGAGTAGTGCCATATAAATGCAACTGTACAGAAGTGATGGATACTACGGGAGTGAAATGGTGATCTAGCTGACTTCAACTTATCCATTATCAAAATTATTTTAACAAATATTTATACTCTTGCTAGACAATTCCCTCCATTCTCAGTGAAGATTTAGGAAAAGTATTTAAAATGTAGATTTATATAGATCTCTTGGGTGGTCCATGAAAATAAAGCTGAAGAGAGAGAAAGAAAATTAAAAGTGTCAATCAAGAAAGGGGCTTCTCTGGTGGCTCAGAGGTTAAAGTGTCTGCCTGATGCAGGAGACCTGGGTTCGATCCCTGGGTCAGGAAGATCCCCTGGAGAAGGAAATGGCAACCCACTCCAGTATTCTTGCCTGGAGAATCCCATGGACAGAGGAGCCTGGTGGGCTACAGTCCATGGGGTCACAAAGAGTCAGACACAACTGAGCAACTTCACTCACTCACTCAATCAAGAAAAAGTTGGGAAATTTGAGAGGAAAAAGTGCCATTAAAGAGTCACCATTATGAATGTCTAAGTGAGATTGAGAGAAAAAGAAAAGGAAAGTTTCCAGAAATATGGTTGGAGCCAAAACTGATTGATTAATAAAAGCCAACATTAGTAGATTTTCAAGTAGAAACTTCAAATGAAAGAAAGTGGGAGATAGGATTTTTTGAAAAATGTATTAAAGAAATACAAATATACCAAAAAGATCACAAATTATAATGTGATGAGTTATTCTGAATTTTTTTTATTCTGAATTCTTATAACCATCACCTAGATCAAGAAATTTCTAGAACATTTATAAAACTCAGAATCTTCCATGTATATAAATATAAATACATACATATTAGTTTTGTCCATCTTTGAACTTCATATGAATGGATTAACATACACTGTTTTATGTCTTTTTATTTGCTCACAACTATATTTGTGAAGTTCATCCATTTTTGTTTAAACAGTAGTTTTGAGTGTTTTCCTTTTCATTTCAGTGTAATATTGTATTGTATTATATGAAATAGATCACCATTTAATTTTTTTTCTTTCTAATCATTTAAGGGCTATTAAAATAAATTCTACTCTAAATATCCTTATACATTTCTTTGGGTATGCATTCATACCCATTTCTGTTAATTACATGCCTAGAACTGGCATTCTTAGAACATCATGTAGGTGTATGTTAAATCCAGATCAACAATGACAACTTTCCAAAGGTTTATATCAATTGGTCATATACTCTCACCATGAAATTCTCTTACTCTACATTCTCACCAATAGCAAACTGATTAGAACTTCTCTAACTATCGGTGAGGTTGAGGATATTTCAAATGTGTACTTGCTAAGTTTGTTTGTTTGGTTTTTTCTTTTATGAAGTGCTTGTTCAAGTGTCTTGTCCAATTTTTCAAGTGGTTATCTCTTTGTTATAAATAGTATAGAAATTGATTCTGATGGAAGGAGAAGATAAACAATTTCTAGTGAGCATCTAAAAGGAAAACTAATAAATTAATCAAACAACAACTGGTAGTTTAGTATGGCTTTGATTCACATAATGAATTTAGAGAATACTGAGGCTTTACTTAACTGAGGAGAAGACCTGGGATCATGACAAGTGTGTGAGGCCAATGGAAACTAAGCATAAGATCAGGTTAGAGAGCCATATTATAAGGGAAGGCCAGCATGTGAAAAGAGACATCATTTTCATATTTTGTCTCTGAAGCTATCTACCTAATTTTGTATTATTGGCCAACCTACTATCTTGGAGCTCTGCCTTACATATATATATATATATGTTCATATTCTATTACTTATTTGTACTCATAATTTCTTCTCATCTACACTCACTGGGTGTTCCCTATTTTCCCCTGAATTGCTGTCCTACAGATTTTGACTATTGTCACCAGTCAACTTTCACTACCCAGTAAAAGCTACAGGCTACTCCTACACTTGAAAATTGTTATTTATGACCACCTAACTATTACACACAGAAGTTCTATATGCACCTTGAGATCAGTATGCCCCAGAGTTGTCTCCCTCCAAAATAACACTGTTTCACACCACTATCCTTATAGCCCTTTATAGACTCAACCCTGATATTTTCCTGTTCTTTACCTTTTCAACCAGTCACTTCTAATTCTTTCCTCTCAGGGTTAGTCTTTCCTTTAATAGTCCTTAATCAATTATGAAGGTTTTCAGCTGCAAGGAAAAAAGTCCCAGAGGAAATAATAGCTGAAAATTAGGAATTTCTTTTTCTCACAACAGAAGACTTGAGGCAGGAGTTTGCTAGGATGCACTAAGCAGTTCAGTAACATTGGTATGACATCTCCAGGGCTTTCTGATATGTCCTTCAGATTTCTCAAGTCACAGTCACTAGGAGAGCTGTCCCAGATCCAGATATCACAGTTCTCTTTAAAGCATAAAGAAAGAAGAGAGGAGAAAGAGCACTACAGTTTTATCCATCCCTTTCATCCAAAGTGTAAAATCTTTCCCAGAAAAACCTAGCAGTTTCCAGTTTATGATTCAATGCTTTTTGAGGCAGTAGCTTTGAAGAAGGATGACTAAAGGAGTTTTTAGCTTTTATGGACCTAAACCAAAGAGAGACTAAAAACAGAGCTGAGAGGGGGTTTGGGTTAACAAACCCCAGTACTTCTTGCATCTTCCAATTACACCCCATGGAGCATCATTGCTTATATTCTTCTAGCCCTCTTTAATTTGTCCTTCTTTCCTTTTTTTTCATATTTGTTTTATGCCCCATTTCACAAAGCACTTGAAACCAATTCATGGGAAATTTAATAGGCAATATAATGAAATGTAAAGAGAGAAATAGAAAGAAAATCTAGATCATCTGGTGGAATGAATAATAATTCTCACAAATAATAATTTCTCAGCCCAGACTATGATAAGAAACAGGTAATTAGAAGTTATTGTCAATGGAAACTCTTGGTATAGAAGGTAGACTAAAGTCTTGGTAACAATAGAGCCATAAATGCCTTCACTGTGATAAATGTTTATTACTTGCTCATGCAGCAATCAAGGATCAGGTTACCAGGGGTTCAGGGTTGTATCCAATGGCTTTCATATCCTGGAATTTCTGTTAATATTCAGCCAAAGTAATGGGATTTATTTCCACTTGTATTCCATTGATTAATGCATGGTCATTGTTGGGAAATGAAGTATATCTGTGT